ACACACACACACACACACACAAGGACCGGTGTTCGCTGATTACCAGGGAGAGATGGGTATGTGAGGGGATGGGGAGTCATTCTCTGGCTGGTTGGTTTGGTTGATTATGTGCCATGGAGTCTGTTCTGACTCATAGCGACCCTGCATAGGGTTTCCGAGACTGTAAATTTTTATGGGAGCAGAAAGCTTCATCTTTCTCCCGCGGAACAGTAAGTAGTAGTTTCAAATTGCTGACCTTGAGGTTAGCAGCCTCACTCGTAACCTCTACGCTACCAGAGATACTAGTTATTTTTGGTGATGGGAAAAAGGTAGTACAAAATTTGGTGGAATGAGGATTACTTCACCAAAGTAAATGATGCCACTAAGATATGTGTAAGGGTAGATACAATTATATCCACAAGGGGGCTTCAAAAAGTGTGTGGTAAATGGAATCGAAAGATAATGGAATTTTCCAAGAACTTTTTGAAGCCTCCATGTGTACATATATGAATGCAGGCATATATGTTCATAGATGACACAATTACAGATACTTTTCAGATATATTCCAACACCTTGCAAGACTGGTTTTCTGGGTTTGAAGGCTTAGGACCTTAGTCTTAAGGGACAGCTCAGTCAATTAGCATCACAAAATTCATGTTCTGCATTCTAGTGAGGAGAGTGGTGTCTGGAGTATTAAAAACTTGCAAATAACCATCGGAGTTAGTAGGAGTAAAGAGTAAGAAGGAAATCAACCTCAGAGAAGAAACACGGAGAATAGCCTACATGAGCCACGGCCTCATCTACCCTGTGCAGAAGAACTAGATGATGCCCAGCTACCACTACTGGCAGATCTAATCAGGGCCACAACAGAAGGACTCTGATTGAATTGGAGAAAGTGTGGAACAAGTCCAGACTTCCTGGACTAGTTGAGACTAGAAGACTCCCTGAGACTGTTGCCCTGGGATACTCTTTTAAACATGAACCAAAACCATCTCCTGAGGTCACCTTTTAGCAAAGTGACAGATGGTACCCAAAATCAAGCTGTTATCCATGAGTATGGTAGTGGTGGTTGTGTGCTATGTACAGGGTTTCCGAGGCTGTAAATCTTTACTGGAGCAGAAAGCCTCATCTTTCTCCTGCAGAGCAGTTGGTAGTTTCGAACTTTGATCTTGCAGTTAGCAGTCCAATTTATAACCCATTATACTACCAGGGCTCCTATCCGTGAGTATGTTGTTGAGTGCTGTCAAGTTGGATCTGACCAATAGTGACCCTCTATAGGATTTCCTTTTTGCTAAAGGTAATACAGAAGCAGCTACAATCATATATTGACAGAGAACTTCAGAGGTTCAAGCCGGATTCAGAAGAGGCTGTGGAACAAGGGATATCATTGCTGATTTCTGATGGATCTTGGTTGAAAGCAGAGAATATCAGATAGATGTTTACCTGTGCTTTATTGACTACGCAAAGGCTTTTGATTGTGTGGATCATGACAAGCTATGGAAGTATGAGTATTCCAGAACACTTAATTGTACTTATGAGGAATCTTTACATAGACCAAGAAGCAGTTGTTCAAACAGAACATGGGAACACTGAATGGTTTAAAATTTAAAAAGGTGTGCAACAGGTTGTATTCTTTCACCATACTTATTCAACCTGGATGCTGAGCAAATAATCTGAGAAGCTGGGTTCTATGAAGAAAAACACATCAGGATTGCCTGCGATATGCACATAATAACCTTGCTTGCTGAAAGTGAAGAAGACTTAAAACATTTACTGATGAAGATCAAAGAGCACAGCCTTCGTTATGGATTAAATCTCAATGTCAAGAAAACAAAAATCCTCACCACTGGACCAATAAACAACATTCTTATCAATGGAGAAAAGATTGAAGTTGTCAAGGACTTCA